AAAAAAATGAGTGAAGTCGTGCACACAGAGTTACCGGAGTTACTCTATATTGCTGAGGAAGGCTTTTGCGGTATTCTCGCCCTTTCCACGCTAAGTCTCATGAGTATACCAACTGTAGGCCTATAGGGCCTACTTTTCCCATTTGAATAGAATTGCAACCGGTGTCTTGTGTTTTCTTGTGGCAGTTCAGTGCACCTTTCTTCAGCGATTTTGTATGTTAAACTTATAATCTGTTTGCATTCAGCGAGAGTCCCCGCGAGAGTCTATATTTTTTAGGTAGATAGAGGATATTGTGCTGGGGGGGGGAGAAAAAAGGAGGAGGGAGGGGGTACTGAACGCAAAGCAGACTTCACCAATCCAATCCCGACTGACCAAGCCTTGGTCAAGTCCTTAAAAAAGACTATAGGCCCTATCGTCTTGCTAGTGTAATATTTGACAGAGGCACGGGGTCACTTTTAAATCGAAATATAAGTTGCAAATCTTTTGAATATCATGAAACTGTACACTGAAAGAATCAGAATATGCAGCTCATCATGGCAAAAAACGATTTTTCAGAAAAAGAATCACCTTTTAAATTGCTGACTACATGCCTGAAAGTAATATTGTTAACTTAAAACAACAAACTCGTGCACTCACACAAACGCGTATGTACAAGTACAGTAGGCCTATACAGGAACACACAAACGCAAACGTATACTACACTTCATTAAAGGTGACATCAGCCTTTAGAGAGTAAAACGTCTCTTTCGTCCAAGCAACAACAAAGGTCAATCGATCCCTTATCTTGGTTATCCTGGGGGATTTTGGAGAACAGACGGCTGAAGAGGGGAGGAGAATGTCATGGACCACTCAATTTAGATCTCATTTTATATGTTTGTGGAGGCAGTGCTGGTAGAAAGGATGGCTTGAAATATGTAGAATCGGTCTCTCTCTCTCTCTCATCCTATAGATTCAGATATTAATTAAGTGATAATCAACCTCTATTAAACAATGGTCTTGCGACTCACTTAACACAACTGTCAAGTTGTTTACAGATATTTCATGCAGTGAGTGCAACATTTTTAGTCGACAAAAATATGTCCTGAGACCGCTTGTAGAAGGCAGCTAGGGACTGGCCACTGAAATCATAATACAAAGCAATACCCTTTTATGAGCCTATAAATAGGCCAGGCAAGACTGAATGGTGTGGGTCATGGTTTACCTGATTCTACGTCAGTACTGTTTATTTCTCCGCATCTAGGTCACCCCTTGGCCTTCAGCGGGCCCCTAGTATACCACGTGATGCTTATTACGTAATTAATCTAGTGTGAGCGAAGCTGCATAAAAACAGCACAAGAAGATATATGCACCGTGCACACAGGGCAGTACAAAGAATACGACGTACGACTGAAATCAATAAAGCAGCCCATTGCTGTATGGGGAGGAAAAAAACGTAAATTGATGACCAGTTGTGTGCGTAGGCCCAGTGATAGTTTGTAATATATGGTATTTGAAAATCAATAAATCTATACACGGTGTAAATAATACTATTTGTTTGTATTATTTATGGAGATTTTCATATATAGGCCCTACATTTTTGTAGCTAGGCCATCATTTCACCTGTATACAAACCAGGGCAGCGTGTAGAAAACATTGGCGATTTATCACAACATTCGATTCCCGGTGCAGTGTTTTGCTGTGGTAGGGGCCTACTTGTATTTTGAAGAAGGGTCAGCGAAAGAGAGAGCGAAAAAGAGAGAGAGGATGCAAGGGAAGAAAGAACCGAGTAATAGAGAGAAAATTTTGAAGAGAAAAGAGAAGAAAGAAAGAAATGTAGAGATAAAGAAAGAATAAAGGCGACTGGAGAGTGCACAGAGAGAGAGAGAGAGAGAGAGACGGCGAGGGAGAGAGGTCGGGGAGGAATAGATCGAGAAAGGGAGGGTAAGAGGGAGCTTAAGGTCGTCGTCACTCACGGAGGGCGTTGGAGTGATGTTGATTTGGTTGCCACAAAACGGACAAAATGTACCAGTAAAGGCCACTAAGCTAATTACATGATTTAGCATAATCAAATTAACTTTGACTTAAAGCAACTATATGGTATTGCTTCTGGCAAATAAAAAGTTTTGGGTCAATAACCTGCATAAAAGCCAAGCGGCAATCAAGAGAAAATAAAAGCCAAAGAAAGCATAACCGGAATCATATGTATCGGATTTAAGTTTTTTAGATTCTGACCTTTTTGCCATTTACTGCCAAAGCTTTTATATATTCACATGAAATTTTATTTGTAATCTTGATAGGAAAAATTCCCATGCAATTCAAGTCACACACTTTTTTATTCATATTACAGAGATTAACATAAGATACCCAGAGAATTTCTTTGAATATCCTGTAAAGATTCCCTTGGGGAATCTATACAGTGTCAATAAGGGGATATGCCTCAAGCTTTCAAGAAGCACGGCCATTTTTGATCCGCGGAACTGTTCGTCAGCGGATCAACTTGTTTTGAATGTCACTGAAGGCTGACGCGATGGCCAGATTTTATAATGGCTCAGATGATTACGGTTCATGTTTTCAAACGGTCATGTGCAGTAGATGGTACAATTTTCCGTTGAATGTGTTAGGTGTGACAGAACCCCTTGAAGCAATTCTTAGAAAACGTGCGCGTTGGCCGATACCAAAGATAATAGGCCTACTTTAATCGTAACCCCCCTCCCCTTCCATGTTTACTCTTTCCATAATAATAATATATTATTATTATTATTATTATTATTATTATTATTTGGGGGTGTCTCCGCTTTTACCTCTAATGCAATATTTGACTGCCCTCTCGGAAGAGTGTGATTAATGAAACACGTACTCCAAATAAAATCATTACTTTGACATAGAACTGGCGTTCTGAAAATATATCCCAGGATTCTACGACTTGGTAGAAAAAGATACAGGCCTACCATTGCACCAAAATAGATTTACTCGTGTTCCTTACATATTTTATATCACGAAGGATGCAATTATGTGTTTTCTACATAAATCATAACAAACAATTTTAATTAAAAATATCTTACCATTCAACAAGACTTGAATTCACCTGCAAAACAATAAAACATATACATTTTTTTCCAAATATTACATAGGTATTCAATACATAATAAAAGATAAAGAAAAACTATCATGGACTGCGACCACCTCCACCCTCAAACTAACCTTCATTGAAGAATAAATAGAGAACAACAATTAAAAGTTTTATGCTTATATCTTGAAAGATGCACCTAACGAGTAAAACACCTCACAGTATTTCGGACTAGAATCATTCAGAGGACATTGGTCTCATCACATTTTTATATCATTTTCTTGATCCTGAGAAGCATGGTCCAAGTTTACTTTTTCCATTCACCTTTTCTATTTATCCAACATATAAGCTAAAATCTTAGCAATACATGTCTAAAAGATACATACTGTACATGTAGTATGGATTTCCAGTAACTCATATAAATCACTTCTAGCAGTTCTTAAATCATTAATCGGGAAATATAAAAACTGTATGTCCTTTATATTTTCTTTTAGTAATACTATTTGAAACTATACATGTATGGTGGCCTTTGGTCAGGTTTTATAGCAATAATTTGATTTAAAATGCATCTGGAATGATATAAGTCGCTGTCTACTGTAAAATCACTCTTCGAATAAGGGAAATCGTCTTTCAGGATGCAACATCATCACATTCTCTTTTTTATATCTGGAAAAGAAACAAAGGTGTTATCACATTTACTCATGGTGTCCTGTTATTATCACAATAACAGGACACCACAATACACAAGCCAAGCAAAATTTATCAAGCTGACGCCATTACGTTTAAAACGCCCCCCCCCCTTTTTTTAGAGCCATCCGGCATATTTATATTTACTAAGTTGATGAAAACTATCCAGTTCTTGTCGAATAAAGATTTATCTCCATGCCATGCATCAAAGGTCCAATAAAATTAACTATTTTTAAGGTTTCAAAATTCCTTTAAAGCTTGTAACAATTTTAAAAACTTCAAAATGTATTCATAAACGTACTTGCCCCTGCCTTGTTAGCTGAAAAGAGTAATTCTTTCTCTAGAAAGTCACTGTTTTAACACTGTTATAAAAATATCAAATACTTACCCTCTTCATATGCACTCGTTACAATACCAGCTCAACCAAAATCAACACTCCTAACATTACAAAAACAGCATTGACTCCACCCCCTGAAACACATTAGTTCGTGGCTGAAATACCAGTTTGTTTACAAAAATTCAGACATACTTGCATTTTTATTATTTTTTGGATAGAGCCCATGAATTTAATGATCACTTTATAAAAATAAATAAATAAATAAATAAATGAATAACAACATAAAAAATAAATAAAAATTACAACGTTAACTAATAGACGCACCTGGTCACTGAAATATAATAATAACTGCCAATTCCAATTTCATTTAGGATCATTCCATAAAAAGAGAACGTTTGAGTCGGGTAAGTGACGCACCCATGTTGTGTAACTTTTGCATAATTTTAACTTGCCGGTGTGCTGTTTTCTTACTATAGAAACCTTCAATATGGACAGAAATCTACAGTTTCTGTATAATTAAGAAGTAATTTAAACATCCATGTAAATATCACATAAAATGTGTGCTTCACTAACGTAACTAAACTGATCACTTTTCTTGAAGAATGGCACATTTATGAAATGTGAATTAGTTCGGTGACAATAACCATAATTTGTACTCACTCTGTGACTGTGTGGTTGGAGACAAAGTTGAAGCTATTGACGAAGATGTAGTCTTGGGTGTTGGCTGGTCAAACATGGTCAAAGTACTCATAGCTGCCCAGGATCCATTATTAGCTTCTGCTTCTATCCCAAGTATCTTACACATTACCTGATACACGTCTGTGTTATTGATGAGGTCCACTTTAGAGTTGGCGTTAAAATCTAAAGTGATGACAAATGATGCAATGTTGGCCTACATGCCTATGATTAATTCTAATTACTTCGGTTGCGGATTTAAAAAGATTATGTAGTTTTGGGAGTTTAAGTGAAGTTGCCTTAAACATGGCATGGACATCGCTTTGTTTATTTATACCTGAAATATGAAAATTGCTTTCCATACATTGGAACTACATAAAATATGTTGGCATATTAGTTATTTCTCTTAGAAATTAACCCCTTTATCCTTTGTATACAACCCATTATACTTGCATTTTCTTTGTAAGTGATAGTGGCGCATCACTAGCAATTCCAGAACATGAAACATGGGAGGATCCAACCCCCCCCCCTCACACACACACACACACACACACACACACACACACACACAATCAATTCAAGATAATTTTTGAAATATTGTAGAATGTTAGGACAATCTGTGGAGATAAACACATAAAACGTGCTTCTCTAGGCCTCAAAATGTGACATCTTTCATTTTATGTGAATTAAGTGAATAGAGCTGCTTCTTGCTTGTTAAATTTCGGAAGAGTGGGAGAGTGGACCCTAGACCCCAACCAAACATGCACAATTGAAATAAAATTAAATTAAAATATTACTGTGGTAATATACTTACTAGGTCCTATGGCATAAAATATGGCATGCATGTCATTTTCTGCATTGTCATAGCCATGTGTCCCTTTCATTGTGCGAACAACGGTTTTATCATTTTCATTTTCGTCAAAAGTCGGCACATTTGGAGATGCAAACTGAAACAAACAAACAAAAAAAAAACATTGTCCATTTTATAACTGATCACAAGCACTAAAAGGTTTATTATGATTATACTGATTTTAACTCGACAGCCAGGAACTGTACGAACACACTTAAAGGTACATTTGAAGCAAGTTGGCGTGACATATTTACCCATATTTACCATTTGAGAGCACAGATGTACAAATTAACCACTCTAGCCACGAATTAAGTATCATTTGGACCATATATTAACATATAGGTATTACCCCTAATTCTAATTTTATTCTAAATCATACCGTCGTCATGTAGTAGCCACTCTCTGCTAGGACAAATACTGGAGCAACAAGTTTGTGATTTATATAAAAGAAACGCTCTGGAATATCTTTCTTCAGGTAGGCTGTAAAATATCTCTCCCCTAATGAGTCGTTGTTTAGTTTTTTCACTAACTGAAAATAAAACCAATCCAAAATATTATAGAATCACGAATACATGTGACATACATGTCTCTTAGTGTGCATCTCTCTTTAAGGCATATTAAGTATAAACAAATAAACATCATGTCACTCTGTCAATCTGATTGCATTCAGCGAGTCCCACGGAGTTGGATCGATCTACGTACAAGAATACTTTCATTGGGAATCAGCCCCATAGGTCCATAAGATATACAGACTTAACCACATTGTGTTAGTTGTGACTCAGGATTGCAGAGAACAATCCACTTGACGTACCTCGGCTGGTTCGATTGCGGGCCACAGTTCTACATTTGCACCACTGTTCAATGAGCCCTTGATGGGAAAACTGACCAGGTCACTCAAGTCCATCCTCTCAGTCAAGTTAACAGCTTCACCAATCGAAGTCATACCTAGAAACATCTCAGAAAATGTATCTACTGAATTAGCTAATTTACTATAAAGCCGACAGGCAGGAAGATAGGCAGACAAGAAAAAAGCATGAAATACCCAAAAGATTTTAGAAATATTCCACAATATTTCTACTTACCATGATCTGCCAGTATGATAATATTCAAGTTCTCCCTCATGTCACTTGTAATTTGCAAAAGTTCAGTTATTGTGCCGTCAAGTTCTTTTAAGGCGGTGTTTAACTCCCTCCCATTTGGACCATACAGATGTCCAAAATGGTCAATTGAAATGTAATAAATACCTGCAACACAAAACAAAGACTGCTACTATCAACATTTACAAGAGACTAGGCTTACATGTATGTATACATATATATAGTCAGAGACCCGGGTGGAAGCAGGCCAAATTGTGTGTATAATGAAACTAAGTTTGTGGCAATATAATTCTATGTTGGGATACTTAATTCGTGGCTAGAGTGGTTAATTTGTACATCTGTGCTCTCAAATGTACCTACCCACAAAATCTGCTGAATTATTCCTCAGTGAAGCTACAGCCTCCTCAAGGTCTTTTTTCAGGCTGGCACCATTTTGTAAAGGTTCTTCCATCCACTCTCTACATACGGAGGGTTTGTGCTGATGTATGGTAACATTACAATTTGGCCAGGATAAGAGAAAGCTTTTCTTGCCCTGAAAAAAAAAACACAGAAATTATGCAAAGCCCAAAATCTAAGACATACTAAACGCATTCAAACTGTCCTAAAGTAACAGGTTGAGCAATGATTTGCACGTGGAAGAAAATTCATATTTTCTCAAGAAAAATTCAATTTGGTACAATCCCCAAAACCACTAATAAGAACTGTGTTCTAAATTATCACAGATCTAACAAGTCATACAAATAATAGGATATCTGTGAACCACCAAATCTATGAAAAAACTGCTATGCAAAATAACTTTGAATGAAAAGAACAAATTAATAGTTTTCTGTGTGTGTGTGTTTGGGGGGGCGGGGGGGGGGGGGG